CCGACTCCGGGTCGGCAAGAGCAGGAAGAGAGGACGCAGGAGAAGGCAAAGGGGCACGTAGAGGAGCAGTGGACGGACGCAGAGACATCCGATGCGTGCCAGGGAGAGGAGGAGGACGCTGACGCGAACTACGACCACTAGTGCGAGCAGGACGGACAGGCGACGTAGGGCGAGACGCAGGCTCACCATGCTCAGCAAGACCTCTAGTAGGACCAGTGTAGGGAGAGGGAGCAGGCAGTGGGGAGGTCGGCGGTAACTGTAACTGTGACGGGACAGTCTGTGGACACTCTAAGGGTGGAGGAGGACCAGTAGAAGGCGGGAGACCAAGAACCTGCTGAAGGAGCGGAACGAAGTACGGCCGAGGCCGCTCAGCGACTCCAGACACAGCAGGGACGGCACCAGCACCCCTAGCGGCAGCACCAGCGCCAGCAGCACCTCCAGCTCCAGTACCTCCAGCAGCACCAGTAGCACCTACAGTAGCACCGCCTCCAGGACGGAGAGCAGTAGCCTCAGCACCAACACCCTCAGCAGCTCCAGCTCCAGTCGCACCCGCCAGCCCACCAGCTCCAGTACCTCCAGTACGAGCACCTCCGGGACCCGCGGCACCAGCACCCTCAGCAGCCGAAGACCCACCAGCTCCAGCAGCACGCCTCCAGCGCCGGGCAAACCACTCGCGCAGCTCCTGTGGAGAGAGTGGCTCCCGCCGAGACGAAGCACCCGGAGAACCTCCAGGCCCAGCACCGCCAGACGCCACACGAGCAGGCCCCGCCCCCTCAAGCTCCACACCCCCAGGCTCAGCACCTCCAGACGTAGCACCCCTAGGCTCAGCACCCCAAGGTGTAGCACCCCCAAGCTCAGCACCCCCAAGCTCAGCACCCCGAGTCTCAACACCCCTTGTCTCAGCACCCCCAATCTCATCACCCCCAGGCGTAGCACCCACACACTCAGCACCCCTAGAGTCAGCACCCCCGGGCTCAGCACCCTCAGCAGCACCACAGTCACCAGTGACCTTGACATGCTCGACTGCGTCTACCTGGGACACACCTGAAGGGGCTGGACCCTGAGGGGAGAGGGGGTCTACCGGGGGGGGACCTGGTACGAGGAAGAGCGGCGGCGGGGGGTGGGACGTAGTGCTGTAGGGGAAGAGGCGGTAGTAGGGGACCGACTCGTCAAACGTGACGTCCTGGGAGGACAGAACACGGCGAGAGGTGGGGTAGTAGAACTGCCACCCTGGCGCGTCACGGGGGAAGCCAAGGAAGACGCAAGGAGCCGCACGAGGGGACAGCTTGTCCGCAGACAAGTCGCGGACAAACGCCCGAGATCCCCAGACACGGAACGCAGACGCATCGCCAACCTTCCCCATCCACAGCAAGGCTGGGGAGGTCTCCGGCATGGAGACCCTGGGGTGAAGGTTGATCTGATGCGCCGCGTACCGAACCGCAAAACGGCCACAGAAAATGGGGGGCAGCCGCATGCATCATGGACGTACGGGCGACGTCCATGACCATCCCAATGCGGCGCTCAGCAATCCCATTTTGCTGTGGAGAGTCCGGAAGCGTGAAGGTCTGGCGGATGCCTCGTGCACGACAGTAGGCTCGTAGAAGGCCAGAGGAGAACTCTCCGCCTCTGTCAGAGTGCAAACGCAGAACAGGAAAGTCCGAGCCGAAGCTCTGCCTGAGCTGGAGACGAGCTGCGCGGATCTAGTCGATCAGCACCTCAGTGACATCACCCTTGCTGCGCAAGGGGAAGACTGTGGTGTAACGCGAGTAGTCGTCAACCACCAGCACGAAGTAGCGCTCGTGACCCAGTCCACGGATGCGGGCGGGGCCCCACACGTCCATGCGAAGCGTCTGCAGTAGGGCCTCTGTCGGAGGAAACTGGGAGGAGTGAGGGGCAGCCCGCTGCCGTCCCTCGACACAGGGGACGCAGGTAGGGCCAGGCCCTAGAGGAAGGGGAGGGAGGGACCGGGGAAGACCAGAGACAAGGACACGGGAGGCCATGCCTCGGAGACGAAGCAGGGAGGGGTGACCAAGGCGGTGGTGCCAGAGGAGAGTCTCGTGAGACAGGAGGCGACACGAGCAAGGGGCAGACTCAGGACCAGACCTGGATGCTGCAGCAAACACCTGACCCGACGCAGCTACCTGACCAGACGCAGGGACAGGAGGAGACGCAGTGGTCAGTGTGTACAGGCTCGACCCCGGCCGACAAGTAAACGTGGCCAAGTGTCGGCCCGTCCGAGCGTACGTGTAGTGGGTCACCCGCTGGCTCGCAGGAGTGAACTGGTGAACTCCCCCATCCTGTAGGTCAGCACCACTCACCAAGTTCGTAGAGAACAAGGGGAGGTAAAGACCAGACAGTGTGCCAGAAGGAGCCGCCGGACACGGGAGGACAGTGGAGAAGTGAGCAAGGACAGGACCCCCATAGGGGTCTGCCAGAGAGACTGCAACTGGCCGACCAAGCGGCGTGAGTGTGGTGCGGTCTCGAAAGAAGGAGCGAGAAGCCCCCGAGTCAAGGGTGAAGGTGAGGGAGGCCGAAGCCGACTCGGTACCTGAGAGCGCAGACTCACCAGCACCTGAGGAAGCAGACGCACTAGCACCTAGAGCAGCAGCCTCACCAGTACCTAGAGCAGCAATCTCAATGCCCGGGTCAGGCGGGAAACACCGGTAACAGTCACCCTCATCACTAATAGTCACAGCATACATGGCAGCAAGAATAGCATCGAAGTCAAGGTCAAAGATAGCTACTCCCGCCCTAGACAGCTCACCCCAGCGGGGGATCTCCGTGGCCTCCGGGAACTGGTGACACCAAGCGTCCGTCAGGCGGCCAAAGCAGCGCTGGGTGGAGTGCGCACCCCCACACTGCTCACCCGCGCGGTCGTCGGTGCGTAGGACGTAGGTGCACGGACCAGTACCCCCACCCCGCTGGCGTGCAGCGTACCACTCACGGAGCTGCTGAGGGGGGGGGATGTCACGAGTGCGCTGCTGCTGCTGCTGCTGCTGGCGCTGACCACCACCGGAGCTTACCCTCTGCGCAGCGCCACCCCGACCAGCTCCACCTCCTCCGCCACCGCCTCCTCCATCGCCGCCACCTCCGCCACCTCCGCTCCCACCGCCACCGCCGCCGCCTGCGCCTCCACTGCCGCCACCGACACCTCCACCCCCGCCACCACCCCCACCGCCACCCCCACTCCCTCCGCCGCCTCCACCGCCCCCGCTAGCTCCTCCAGCGCCCCTGCCCCCCTTGCCCTTGCCAGGGCGGCGTCTCCCGCTAGGGGTAGACGCCGCACCGACCGACTCAAGCCCAACGAGGTCGGCCGCAGCAACAGAGGCAACAGAGGGCAAAAGGGGGGAGGGGGAGCACCCCTCAAAGATGGGGGTGCGAGGGTCACCACGAGAGGCTTCTACAGCGACTATGCTCTTCTCCGCTGCTAGGAGGGCCTTCTCGAGGAGGTCAACGGTGAGAGTGGTGGGGCAAACTGAGAGGAAGTGGTCCCTGACTACGCGAAGGGAGTCAGGGAGGCGGGTGATGATGTAGTAGAGAGTGATGTACATGGGGGGGGGGGGGGTTCTTGGCGCAGAACTCAGCAGAAAGCGCAGCGCGGTAGCGAGTGTCACTAGTGCGGAGGTGCGTAATGAGGTCAGCGACTGTGGGAAAGGCAGCAAGGTCAGGGAAGAGGTATGGTAGTATGAGGCGGCTCAGTGCAGCAGTGGCAGGGGAGGAGTAGCGTGCAACTACAGCGTCGTACAGGGTCTGAGCGCTCTTGTACTGGCTAAAGTGCGCACGCTCAGAGGTAGGTAGGTGGCGACGCACAGCGTTGCGTGTGGCCCACTGTGAGCATACAATGGCATCAGCATCAGCAGCAGGGGCAGGAGAGTTACCAGAGGTGAGGTCAAAGAGGGAGAGACCGTCTGCCCTATCGCACTGTAGGAAAAGCTGTAGGTCATCTACCCAGACGTCAAAGTCAATGGCCCGACCCTCATCGTCAAAAGCAAGGACACTAGGGGTAAGGGCAGTGTAGTGACAGAGGCGCTGCTTTTACCGGACAGGGCGGCTCGGGCGGCTCGGCGGCTCGGCAGGAACTGCAGCTCGGCAGCTCGGCGACTCGGCGGCTCGGGCGGCTCGGGCGGCTCGGCGGCAACTGCGGCCCGGCGACTCGTCGGCTCGGGCGCCTCGGCGGTACGGCGGCTCGGGCGGCTCAGGTGGCGCGGCGGCTCGGGCGGCTCGGGTGGCGCTGGCGGCTCGGCAGTAGCTCGGCGGGGCCGCGTGAAGGCGGGGCCGGGGCCGGGAAGGGCGGGCGACGGGGCCAGCAGAGGCTGGGCCGGGGCCGGGAAGGGCGGCGTCGGGACCGCAGAGGTAGGTGACGGGGCCAGGAGAGGCGGGGCTGGGTCGGGAAGGGCGGCATCGGGGCCGGGAAAGAGCGGCGCCGGGGCCGCAAGGTAGGCGACGGGGCCAGCAGAGGCTGGGCCGAGTCGGGAAGGGCGGCGTCGGGATGGGGCCGCGAGGGCGACGCGACGGGGCCTCTAGCGCGACGCGACGTGGCCGCTAAGGCGGCGCGAGAGGGTCGAGAGAGGGGAGCGCGACTCGGGCAAGAACTGAGCACGCTCCGAGGAGGGAAAAAAAAATCGAATTGGTGGGCCCTAGGAACAGTTCCCACGAGGGAACCTGCTCGATACCATGAGAAAACTAGAACGAGAATGAATGCACTAAGGAAGAGTTGGGTACAAGTACTAACCCTAATTGGGTTGTACCCCATATGGGCTACCCCACTACAGCCTACACAAAAGCATAAGCTATAATGTTCTGACACTTACGTCCTCCGTACCGGCGACCGAGCTGGTGAGCAGTGCGGGGGCCCGCACTCCGCCCAGCGCTGCTTCGGCCGCCTGACGGACGTGTGGCGTCACCAGTTCCCTGAGGCGTCAGAGATCCCTCGCTGGGGAGAGCTCTCTAGGGCGGGGGTTGCCATCTTTGATCTTGACTATGATGCTCTCGTTGCTGCCATGTATTCTGTGACTACAAGTGTTGAGGGTGACTGTTACCTGTGTGTACCGCCTGACCCGGGCATTGAGGCCACTGCTCTAGGTGCTGGTGAGGCTGCTGCTCTAGCTGCTAGTGCGTCTGCTGCCCCAGGTGCTAGTGCGTCTGCTGCCCCAGGTGCTGGTGAGTCTGCTCTCTCAGGTACTACGTCGGCTCAGGCCTTCCACACCTTCACCCTTGACTCGGGTGCGTCCCGCTCCTTCTTTCGATACCGCACCACTCTTACGCCGCTCAGTCGGCCGGTTGCAGTCCCCCTGGCGGACCCCTTTGGGGGTCCTATCCTTGCTAGCTTCTCCACTGTCTTACCGTGCCCGGCAGCCCCCTCTGGCACCCTGTCAGGTCTCAACCTCCCCTCGTTCTCTACGAACTTGGTGAGTGGAGCGGACCTACAGGATAGGGGGGTTGACCAGTTCACTCCTGCAAGTCAGCGGGTGACCCACTTCACGTGTGCTCGGACAGGCCGACACTTGGCCACGTTCACCCGTCGGCCAAGGTCGAGCCTGTACACCCTTACTACTGACTCTCCTCCGGCTGCTGAGTCTGGCTAGGTAGCTGCGTCGAGTCAGGTGTTTGCTGCAGCGTCCAGGTCTGGTCCTGAGTCTGCCCCCTTGCTCGTGTCGTCTACTGTCCCACCAGACTCTCCTGTGGCACCACCGCCTTGGTCACCCCTCCCTGCCTTGTCTCCCAGGCATGGCCTCCCGTGTCCTTGTCTCTGGTCTTCCTTGATCTCTCCCTCCCCTACCTCCGGGGCCTGGCCCTACCTGCGTCCCCTGCGTCAAGGGGCGACAGCGCGCCGCCCCTCACTCCTCCGAGTTTCGTGCGACAGAGGCTCCGCTACAGACTGTGAGAATACGACGACTTATGCCAGCTATGCTTGCTTGCCTCTACTTTATCATGCTATTTCTAGCATAGGATAATCATATGCATGCATGAATTGCTTAATTTCCTAGGCTAGGTGCTTTCCTATATTTTATTATAGTTATAGCACCGAGCTAGGTTGCGTGCACCGAATTCTGGCTTTTCGGTTGCCACCGAATTGCCTTCTACTGAATTTGGTAAGGATCTGTTCGGGACGCTTCGCGACCCGCGGAACCTTCGCGTAACACCTGGTTACGGGGCCTTGTGTCGAGCCTATATATAGCCTCGTGTTGTACCCACGTGATCATTCAATTCAATTTGAATCATCTTTTCTGAGCTCGATCCCAGATCCTCACACTTGGTATTCAGAGCGGGTTTACACGCGAGGTCTTCAACCGCTTAGTTCCGGCCTTTAAAAACCACGGGGGCGACGACGAAAGCGCCGATACGGGTATGTAAAACCAGTTCCGCGCAATTTTTCTAAGTCCCCCTCGATTCGGTTTTCGAACACCCCTCAGATTTTCTTGTGGAAAGGTTGGAGTTTCGACCGTTCGATCGAGTTTCATCTCAACGGCCCAGAGAATTTCGCCCAAAAAAGTTAAAATTTGGAGCGTCGGATCGATTTTCTCCTCAACGGCCAAGATCGGACGCGAATTTCGCCTAAGGGAGATTTACGCAACTTACAGAATTCGAGCTCGTCGATTCTACAGTCAATTTGACTCGCAGTAAGTCGACCAGCACCTAGAATTCGATTATTTTCGTCGCGCATCTTCCTGTAAATCACCAAATGGAGGGAAAAGGAGATATTTCAGTACAGAAAATCGCTGAGTTACGTGCTGAGCATAAGCAAATACGTGCAGCGCTCCCACGACTCGAAAAACTCCTTGCAAACCAGTCGGCAACCGCCACAGCAGCAGCGACAACAGTAGCAGCAGCAGCAGCGGCTACACCGACAATTCTACATGCGACAATGGCGGCAGCTACAGTTAACCTCGAAGCAGTGAAGTTGAGGCTACCGGAGGCGTTCGATCCTTCAGTAAAAAGGAACGACGTTCATCGATTTGTAGCTGAACTCGAAATTTACTTCGAAGCCGTTAGATGCACGACCCCGACAAAAGACGCAATGCGCATACGGCTCGTAGCAACACTGTTACAAGGACTAGCTCTAGAGTGGATCAACAACAGAATAGTCCAAGGCGAGGGGCAAGGGCGTAGTTTCCGGCAGCACTGATCGAACAGTTCGACACGTTGAACAGTAGCTACTACGGAACACGACGCAACAAGCCAACTAGTGGCATGGGGCGATTGGCACCACCCACGACTGCCGACCCGATGGAGAACGACGAGGGCGATGTGGAGCACCGGCTAGCAAATAATGAGACGTGCAAATTTTGCGGCGCTACAGGACATCGTATCTTGGCGTGTTGGAAAATGAAGAGAAGGTGTGCGGAGCTGAAGGACAAGAACAGTGAGGCACCCCCGAAGCAGAAAACGAATAACGTGGCAACTTCGGAGAGGGCGAAAAAGGAGAATATGGTGACGCAAAAATAAAACGTCACGATCAGCCGGCACCAGGGGAAATCGCCGAGACTAATGGAGGATCCGCGAAACAAGACCCTGCACCGACCGGGAAACTCCAGCCGTATACCACGACAAGTAAGAATATTACTTCTCGTGGGTTTCAAGCCTTTATTAAGAGAGAGTCAGAAATTAAACCGGTACCGGGTATTATGGGGACCCTACTCCAGAGCGCTAATACGGGTCGAGCGTTCCGAGGAGTTAATATTCTCTCCCAGCAGCACTGTTTAAAGGCTCCCTGTTCCCCACAGATGAAGCCTACACAGCTGCAAAGGCTTAGTGGAAGGTTCTAGGCCCAAGAGAAGCCGAATCGGCCTCGGATAAATCCCTCTAACCTTTCTCAGTTGAAAACTGATACTGAAGCTGCATCTTTGAGCGCAGGACCTAGGGATAACATACTCGACGTACCCTACGATCCTATAAGCGATACCATCTACGGATACTCGGAGTAGCAGCAACCACTAGTACTCGAGGTGATCTGCAACGGGCGTCGCCTCCAGACCCTGGTGGACAGTGGTGCATCCCACTCGGTGTGCGACCGCGGGACGTTGGAGAAAATTGGAGAATCCTAAGAAGAAACCCAGTTTACAGCAACGATGGTGGACGGTACGAAGCTTCCCATCCACGGAAATTCAACACTGCAGCTGCAGATAGGTGCGTTGAGGTGGAAGCCGAGGCTACCAGTCACCAACATCAAAGGATTAGATTTTATCTTGGGGCGAGATTTCTTGAAGCGGTTCAACCCCGAGATCGATTGGGTCAACAACAAGGTGTGCATCTACAACAATGGGAAGCGGATAGCACTGCGAAGCTGGACAGATACAGGGGACGTACCTGAAACGACACTGGCACGGTTCGAACAGACGGTGAACGGGAGTAGCACGGGTTACCTAGCACTGGTTATGGCAGCAGCAGAGGAGGAGAAGCCGAGTTCCGAGCTACCTGCAGCAATGAAAGAGGACTTGGAGCAGTACAAGGATATAATGCCCGACGACCTACCCATAGGCGTATCTCCAGCACGCACCCACGAGCACGAGATCGTGGAGGAACCAGGTGCGAACCCCGTCTCACGTGCACCATACCGTCTGAGTCTAACTGAACTGACAGACATGAAAAACAGATAGAGTATCTACTAGACAGACAACTGATCCGCCCATCCACCTCTCCCTACGGTGCACCAGTTCTCTTCACTCCAAAGCCAGACGGTAGTTTCCGGATGTGCATCGACTACCGCGCACTGAACAAACAGACAGCACTGACTACAGCGCCAGTACTCATCTTGCCGGATCCAGACAAGGACTACGTGGTGGAAGCAGACGCTAGTGACCAAGCACTCGGAGCAGTACTGATGCAGGATCACGGACGCGGTTTGCAGCCCATCGCCTACCTCAGTAAGAAGCTACACGGAGCCGAACTAGACTACCCCATTCACGACAAGGAAGCCTTTGCGATAGTCATAGCCTTCAAGGCGTGGAGGTGTTACCTAGAGGGAGCCAAGACTACAGCCTATACTGACCACTGCAGTCTCAAATACCTGAAGTCAGAACCGACACTCTCACGACGACAGGTGCGGTGGGTGGATTTCCTGGAAACTCACTTCCACTACGACATCGTCTACAAGCCCGGGCTACACAACAAGGCAGACGCGTTGAGCCGCCCCGGACATGTAGCAGGCATCCAGCTCGACGGGATGAACCCTCTGCTCAAGGGTCTATTCCAACATGGGTACTCCGTGGACGCAGAGATTGCTACAGCACAGACCAAGAAGCTATTACAGTGGGAGAAAGACTTAGCTGTAAGGAAGGGTTCAGGAAAGATTTGGGTACCGAATTACGCCCCGCTACGGCAGATCCTATTGGAGGAGTTTCACGACGTACCTTACGCGGGACATTTCGGGAGCAACAAGACGTTAGCAGGGATAGCGAAGTATTACTACTGGCCCGGGATGGCAGCAGACGTGCAGCAGTTCGTCACCTCTTGCAACACGTGCCAGCGGATGAAGAGCAGCAAGCAGAAAAAAGCAGGGTTACTTCAGCCTCTACCCGTACCGGAGCAGCCATGGCAGGTGGTTAGCCTCGACTTCATCACAGGACTTCCTTCGACCTCACGGGGACATGATTCCATCCTCGTGGTGATCGATAAGTTCTCCAAAATGGGTCACTTCATACCGACCAACGCCACAGCTACAGCTGAAGCAACTGCTCGACTCTTCTTCGACCGCATCATCACCATCCACGGCATCCCCGCTACACTCATCTCAAACAGAGACCCCAAATTCACGAGTAAGTTCTGGAAGGAGCTCATGGGACTGTTGGGGACAAAGCTTGCAATGTCTTCAGCATACCACCCCCTGACTGACGGACAGACAGAGCGACTCAATCAAGTGGTTGAACAGTTACTGCGCACAGCTTGCAAGGACGACGTCAGCCACTGGGACACACAGTTACCAACCCTAGAGTTCGCTTACAACAACGCATCACATGCGGCCACAGGGAAAACTCCTTTCTTCCTGTGTTACGGACGGGAACCACTCACACCACAGCAGCCAACTACACCGGCACACGTCCAAGCCGCACATGACTTCGTCACCACCATGCAGCAGCTATGGGAGAAGACTCAGCGACGTCTCACCACGATGCAGAACTCCCAGAAGCAGTATGCCGATCGTCAGCGACGTGATCACTCAGTAGCAGTCGGAGATCAGGTGCTTCTTGACACGCGCAACTTGAACCTGTCTCACCTTCCATCCAAACTCCGGCCTCGCTTCTGTGGTCCTTTTCTCGTTGAGGCACAGGTGACACCAGTTACATTCCGCTTGCGCTTACCAGATACATGGAAGCTTCACAACGCTTTCCATGTCCAGCTACAGAAGCCCTACAAGGACCCCAACCAACAGTTCCAGGGATGGCAACTACCACCACCACCACCTGTTCTCATACAGGATGAACCCGAGTACAAGATCGAGCGCGTTTGTTGTCATTAGAGAGAGAATGAGTGCACTATGAAATGAAACAAGTACAAGTACCAACCCTAATTGGGTTTTACCCCCTATGGGCTACCCCACTACAGCCTAAATATATGCATCAGTAATATAATCATCTGACACACCCCC